ATGAGAGAGGTGTGTTATTTTCAGGTTCTGACATTTTGAATTGCTGGATCCCACTCATGACACCAGTGTAATATAAGTTTCAGTGGGAGCATGGGCAGAATATCTTGCCCTCCAGCCAGAACCCGAAAACAGCACCAGTAGGCAACAACTTATCCAAAAAGAGCCTTTATTCACACCGGCAATAATAAAACAATCACAATCAACAATAAAACACTAGTCCTTCACACTAAAAGCCAGCTGATCAGCATAAATAAAAGCAAGCAGCGGTACTTAGCTGTCCCAGTTGATGCGACCCTCTCCCCGGGGTCTGAGCTTCCGACACCATTCAATGCCCTCTGACTGGCTCCTCTTGATATAGAGAAGCAGCAGATCTACTTCAAGACCCTCCTGGATGACCAAGCTTCTCACCCTATCTCTAAGGGAGAGCCCAGCCACTTGGCGGAGAAAATTCATTTAAGCTGCTTGTATCCATGATCTCCTTCTTTTGGTCACTACCCAAAGCTCGTGACCTTAGGTGAGGAACGTAGATCAACTGGTGAATCAACAGAACGGTACAACACCGGTCCATCGGTACAATATCAGCATCACTGTAGACGCAGCACCAATTTTCCTATTGATCTCATTCTCCATTCTTCCCTCACTCGTGAACAGGATTACAAGATAATGAAACTCCTCCACTTAGGGCAGGGCCTCATCCTTGACATTCTACCCTTTTCCAACTAAAGATCATGGTCTCGGATGTAGAGGATCTCATCCCAGCTGCTTCACACTCGGTTGTAAACTGCTCTAGCAAGAGCTGGAGATCATGGTCTGATGAAGGCAACAGGACCATATCATCTGCAAAAGCATAGACCTGATCCTTAGGCCACCAAAACAGATCCCCTCAACAACTTGGCTGCGCTTTTCCTGTCCATAAAAGTTATTAACAGAATATGTGACAAAGGGCAGCTTTGGTGGACTCCAACTCTCACAGAAAACAAGCTCGTATCAGAGTGCCTGGTACCCCATACTCCCAGAGTACCCCCTCACAGGGTCCCCCAAGGGACATGGTTGAACACCTTCTCCAAATTTCCAAAACACATATAGATTGGTTGGATGAGCTTCCACACACCCTCCAGGACTCCCTAAGTTTAGAGAGCTGGTCCAGTGTTCCATGGCCAGGACAAAAACCACATTCCTCCTTCTGTCAAAACACTGCAGTGCTTACATTGTTCTGAAATGTCAAATGGACGAAAACGTATTTACAAATAAATAATTGTCACCAGCAGTCATCAAACCACACTCATGTTCATGGCTGTACTTTAAAAACAAGCCAATGCATTTGACCATGTGGGTATGTGGCAGGGTGAAACAAGGGCCCAGGTGAAATTTGATCCCTAGATCCCCGGGAGAGAGTTACGCACACTAACCAGTCAGCCAAAGGGACATCCCCTTGGCCAAGAAGCCAGGGTGCATGATCAATCTGGACACAGTGACAGGAGGTTCACACTGTCACAGGTCTACTGCCTCTACACTCAAAACTTGAAAAACAACAGCCCATCCATTTTCTTCAGCGGACCCACCCACGTGCTTGGTCACGTCTGCCTTCCTGAGCTTGGCCGCGTGGAGTAGGCTGTCCCCATCCAGCCCTGGCCAAGCTGACAGAAGTGTAACAACGCCATCATTTCCTCAGTTGTGATGTCACAATCTTGGGATTTTTTAAATGACTAATTTTTAGGCATATAATTCCTAAAACCAAACACTGACATAAACTGGATGGACATTTTTTTCACGTTTAGTGTTTAAAGAGGCAGCAGAGATGCACATGCCTAAAAGTTCCCCTTTCAACATCTGTCCAATGTTAAGATGTCAATCCACAGTTTCTATAAAAGTTCATATTTGACTCTTAAATAAATAAAAACGCATTCAACCCAGTCAGTGTATGATACTGGCATTAAATCCCAAACTTTCAAAGACAGACATGAACTAAATTAAATGAGCAAAGGGCTGCCATCTTTATCCAATACACACTAATGGTGATTCCAGCTTAGTCATGCAGGACCCATAGCCTTCTTTATAGGCGAGAGCACTTATTTTGGACATAAAATGCATCAAACATAGCACAGAAAGCATTTGGTAGTGTACAACATTTCACCAAACGATTTCTGCAAATATAAACTGTTTCTTATCATGTTGTAAGCTTTTGAAAAACGTTTATGCACCATACATAAAATGATCAACTGGGATACAGTGTGCATGTAACCTTTAAAAGATGTGCTCTTAGATTTTAGATTTCTTTTGCATCTCAAACTCTTTTAACCTGAGAAAGACAAAATGTTCCAGTCAGAGATCACATCCGAAGCATTCATCTTCCCAAAAAAGCTCAACCCCTGAGAGAGGTAGAAAGATCACTGAAGCACTTTAAAATTATTTATTGATTTGTTTCAGTTCAAATCCTGTTTTTGGCTCGCTGCATGGGAATGAATATTTGTTTTTGATTCAAAATATTTACTTTGCTCTCTTTATTGTTTTTTTTTTTTTGTTAGACTAAGTACATTTTCAGTCTTAACTCTGATTTCTGAATAAAGGAAGAGAAAAAAAATTCAATTTAATCTGGAAGTTTGATTTGGATTGAAACAGTAGGTTTGTCATAAAAACTAAAGGCTTTCAGGGATTTAATACCCCTTTGGATTCTTTTGCTCACAGACTTGTATCCTAAACTAACCAGTTACATACACATGCTAATTTAATTTTCTGTCAATTTGGGATTTTTTATAGAGATTTAAGATGTTCAAGTTTGTGTAATCTAAAACTGAAATTAGGATGTAAGAGATTGCCAAGCAAGAGAGCAGTGGACACAGAGTCATTACTCCACTGCTGTTGAGGCACTGCTTAACGTGTGGAGAGCTGTTAAAATCAGCTGGAGCTATAGTGGAGGCAGTGGAAGGAGTACGTTGAGGAGGTCCTCAGTCCCATCGACACATTCCAGTAAGGACCCAGAGACATGGAACATAAGAATGGATCAAACAACAGAAGCTTGGATTGAGGAGGAGCAATGTTTCCTGGCCATGGACCTGTGGACCAGCTCTTTACCCATGCTAGGATGCTGGAGGGAGCGTTGGAGGTTGCCCAACCAGCTCACATGTGTTTATTGGCTCAGGAGAAAGCCTATAGCCATGTCTCCAGGGGCACCCTGGGGGGCACTCAGTGTTAAGTTAAGGTCTACTTAGCCCCTGTGCAAAGAGAGTGAGTCTGGTCCACTTTGATCCATGTTGCTATAAGTGTGACCTGTTCCTGGTGAGAGTTGGACTCCACCAGGTCATCCCATTATTGGTTCTGTTAATGACCTTTATGGAAGTGTAACTGTGGGATGGAAGGTGTTGAGTTTTTGGGCAGGAGGATCCCTTCTCTGCTTTTTGCAGATGATGTGGATCTCTTAGCACCATCAGAATGTGACTTTCAACTCTTGGTGGACCAGTTTGCAGCTGAGTGTGAAGCAGCTAGGATGAGGATTAGTACTTTCAAATCTGATGCAACAGTTCTTGACTAGAAAGGGGGGGATTGCCAACTCTGGGTCTGGAGAGAGGTCCTAGCCCAGATGGGGAAGTTTAAGTATCTCAGTGTCTAGGGAAGGAGGGACAGACGTATCGGGGCATCGTCTGGAGGGTATAGATCTACTGTGCCAAAGACTATACGGTGTAGAGGTTTACCTGTGACACGTAAGTCTTTTAGTGCTTAGTTTATCTTTGATGTCGTTATGTTTGGGCAGGGATATGACTGCATAGTGGGTTTCTTATGTTACAGCTGGTACTTCCATACCATTGTGGAAAAGGTACTTTTTTAGAAATCTCCTCTGCAGAACTGACACAGCTTCAGCAGAAATGCAGAATGTTACTTTTGAAAGTGTTTGTTGGAATGAGAAACGTTTTCATTGTGAGAAGTGGAGGTGTGAATCTGCACTAGCCTCATGATTCGATTCAGTTACGATTACCATGTGAACGATTCAATTCAATTCAATATGTCGATGCATCATGATTAATTCATATGGTTTCATATTTATCAATGGATAGAAGACATCAGATATTAGCTGTTTAAGTAAAATGTGTCTGACACAACCCAAACGCTCTTCAATCACAACACTCCTCATAGGACAATGCAAAAGAACATTTAAGATGTAAAACAATCTGTTTCTTCACGTAACTGTCACATCTCAGACTTGGAAAAACAAATTCTGCAGATGACAAAAAATAAATAAAAACTTCTTTAAAAAATACTGATTACCCTTTGTTTTAGTGATCCCAGCTAATCTGTGTCAAAATGATAGAACCAGAAATGTAATGCAGGCAGCCGAATATAGCCCAGCCCGAGTGGCTCTCAGCTCCACTGGTGCAGCTTGAGGAGAAAATTGGTTATTGTGAGAAGGGTATGCTGGATGTGACCCTGGTCACAATGAGACGTGCAAGTGTGAAATCTAGCTGAAAGGTAAGCAGCTGATAAAGCTACAATACAAAGGCAATATCATTTCTCCCCCTCTTTTCAAATTTTCCCTTTTCTCCCATCTCTCTCCTCTTTTATTTGCATGAATCTGTTTGAATGGACTGTTTTTGCAATTTCATTTAGCAGTTAGATAAACATTTTAAAATCAAACCAACTTGTAAGGTGCTGGAATGACGTGTAATCATTTGCATGTGGTGCAGCTTTGCATATTTTACAATCATCTGATAATGTGTGCAGAGAAATCAGGTGCTTATCTTCGTACTTGTTGGGTCGATTACCATAGATACAACATGATTTTGCAGTCAAGCACTTGGTCTTTTCATTGCTCCAAATAGAACTTCAGAGCTAGACTACAAAGTGAAGAAGCCAAGAACGCTCTTGAAGAACTCAGAGATGTGGTAGACTGGCATCATAGTGGAGCACAGAAATCTGATGAAACGATTCACACAGCAAGAGGAGGGGAGAACATGTGTGTATTTTGTCCATCAAAAGGGGTTTGGTTAAATCGATCAGTCACAGCAAAGTTACTCAAGTTCCTAAACGAAGTACCAGGAGTAAAAGGGTTGATGCATTAGGATTAGCTGAGAAAAGAACAGAAAAGAAACTAATCTGAGAGTTTCATGAATGACTGTTTATGAGGAAAAGGCATTTCAATGTAAGTTGATGTTAAAATGCCGTTTCAGGTTTAAATTATGTCATGCTTTAATGAGATGTGGTTTTTGCCAAACAGAATGCGAACAGCTACAACATCTGTGAATGAGATTAAAACCAAAGGCCTGAAATACGTTTAATGTCCCGTCCATAAAATTCTGAAAAAAAAAAATATCCATCCGTTTATCATCAGCATGGAAAAGGACAACAGCCACCACAGCATGTTGAAGCTGCCCCCCTACTGGGCGGCCCACGAGCCCATCGATACGGTTGGTTTGATGTTGGATGGAGAACAAGAGCCCCCCACAACAAACGGAGGGCTGGAACACAGAGACTGGAACAGAGAAAGAGAGACTAGAAAGGGAAGAACCATCGACAGATGGACTCTGTTGTGATTAAAGATGGCGGCAATCTTCACTGCAGACTACGAAGGAATATATTCGATCTCTAGAAAAGCGATGGGAGTTGTCTGCGGTCCAGCTGAACAGAACCAAGAAGCACACAGTAAGGAAGCTGATCAGGTACAAAGTCTGATTTTCATCCGTAGGAATGGAAGCTGCTGTTAGCAGGAACTTCCCATTGTTTTGTGCATCGTTCTGTTATGTCTGCTACCATTTTTCATGTCTGTGCCATACTCTTTGTTGCATCCTCCCTCTCATCAAAACAAAGCACATCATTTGATTTGATCAGTGTGTGCAGATCTCATCAACCATCTACTAAAGACCATAATGAACTGAAGAGGAACTCATTCATTTATTTTATTTCTAGCTGACAGAAATCTGGCTGTTTACTTTTTGTTACATGGTTCGGCACGAATCGCCACATCGCCAGCAGTTGTGCAGGCCTTTCTCGAAGCTTTTCTCCCTTTTTGTGAGAATATCACAGCCATGATATCCTGCAAAAATAAACTCAAGTCTGCAAAATTGCTCAATCCTCTGTGCCTAATCCACACCAAGACTTGTTAGTGGTGATCTATTCAACCTGCACAAAGAACAGCGGCGGGACTCCAGAATACATTTTCAAAAAGTCTTTGCTACCAGTCTTTTGTTATTTTCCAAACTCGACAAAATGTCTGAATAGGTTTAACGATCTAATATCACATCTAAAGAATTTTGTTCATTAGATAAAACAGCTTTAATTTTCTTAAAACCTATTGGGATGCTCATTGTTTTCATTGAAAGGATTTTGAAAATCACAGAACTTTTGTAGTGTTTTATGAACAGATGGTTTTAAAAGCGTTATTGAGAATGCATCCAGCTAAATGTGTAACAGGCTTTTGTTCTTCAGAAGGTCTTCAGCTGAGATAAGCTGATTTCAGCCAGAGCCTACAAGAAAATCTAAATCCACACTGACAGGTGGAACAAAGGAACACTGAAAGGGCCAAAGCAGGAGACATGAAGTTGTCTCTGGGTAAGACTTCACTGCAGCTGGGTGTTTTTGATAAAACATTTTAATAGGTCGGTAGAAATTTTCACGACCAAACAAATTAATTTTTAATGTGTCATAGGGTGTAAACTTTAAATGTTCTCAACTTCTGAAATTGTTTTATTTAACAACACAGACACATGGCTCAGTGATGTTGTGAATAAATAAATTAACTTTTTAAGAAGAAACATTTTTATACAGCTCCTCTCAAGATAAAAATCACAAGGTGCTTCACAAGAGCAATAAATAATAAAAAAAATCTAAAAAATATTTGAAAAAAGTTTCAAATGTCATAATAAAAAAGGGGAAAATTAAAACATTTGCATAAAAAATGTGAGAAAGACAAAAACGAATAAGAAAAGGTAATCAGGATACCAAGAAAGGCAGAATTGGCAGAGATAGTGGCATGACAAAAAAGGTAGTGATGAAGAATCAACAGAAGGTCACACCAAAACCAGCTTGAACAGGTGAGTCTTCAGCTGCTTTTTAAAGGAGACCACTGAGTTCAACAATCTCAGGCTCAGGGGAGAGAGGTCCAGAGTCTGGGGGCCACAGCAGCAGATGATCTGTCACCTTTGGTCTTTAGCCTGGTGCTGCACAACCAGTAGGCTTTGGTCACTGGACCTCAGGGACCTGCTGGGGGTGTAGGGACTGAGATGATCCCCAATGTATGATGGTGCTTATCCCATTAAGGCCCTATAGACCAGAACCAGGATCTTGAAATGAATGCTGAAGTTGAGGTGGTGGAGGACCAAAACGTGGAGACAGTCCTTTGGCTTCACTGTAACAAACAGCTGTAAACAAAAAAAACAAACAAACAAAAAACAACAACAACAACAAAAGCATCCAAAAATAGGCAATGGACAGTGCACTATATTTCATTCTGGAAATTATTTCTACATAAAATAGAATGAATAGATTTTCTTGATCACACAGAAGGGAAATTCACTTGTTACAGTGACACAAACACTTAAGAGAATGATTTGAAGAAAAATAATAACAAAGGTACACATATTTATACACATAGGCAATAAGCTAGTATTGTAACCTTCGACTGCTAAAAACCACGAAAAATAAAATAAAAAAATTGGGTTTCAGCATTATGCAGCCTACTGTAAGGGACGCAGACATATTATGTAAATCTGGTATTGGACGAGTATTGAACACATACTGAGTATTGCATTGGTGTTAATGTGCAGCAGGATAATGCCAGTACAGCTTAGACTGAGGAGTTATAAACTCTTTCTGCAGAGGGGATGAATGACCTACGGTAGAGTTCTGTTTTACATCTGGGATGTCTCAGTCTGCCTCTGAAGGAGCTGTCCATGGTCTCCAAAGTGGAATGCAGTGGGTGGGAGGGAATTTTAAGATGGAGATAATCTTCCCCAGCATCCTCCTTTCACACGTCTCCTCAACTTTTGTTGGTGAGGTAGCTGTGGTCCATGCAGTCAGATGTTCGTCCACTCCTGCACCCCTCAACTTCTGCTGCAGTAGATGCAGCTGGATGGTGTTGAAGGCACTTGAGAAGTCCAAGAACAAGATTCTCACAGTGCTCTTTTGCATCTCGAGATGAGTCAGCACCTGGTGCAGCAGGTAGATGAGCTCGTTCTCCACCCCCATTTTTGGTTTATATGCAAATTACAGTGGGTCCATTTCCGGGGTCACCATTGAGTGTAGATGGGTGAGGATGAGTCTCTTCATAGTCTTCATCAGATGGAGATCAAGGCGACAGGTCTGTAGTGGTCTGGTACCCTGGGATGTGATGTTTTGGGAACTGTTAAACGAGGCCCCATTTAATTAGGATTAAACTGCATTCCTCTGACATACATAAGGAGCAACTCTATTGCTTTTACACATTTACACATTTCCATGTGCTTTGATTTCAAGCAGCCATGTGTATGAAAATGTGGTTCTTTAAAAGTTATTTCATCACCATAACCTGCTTTTGAGCTGATGACACAACTCCTAGAAATAAGAAGTAATAAAAAACGACCAACCCAATTCTAATACCATTACGTTTTGAGACAATTGTAGATAGTATTTGTAAATCTGGACACGTATGAGGGAATGGTCTGTCAAAATGAGTTAAATACATTTTAATTTAATGCAAAAGAATAAAGTTAATTTAATAAAATGAACACGTTTTCTTTATGTAAATAAACATTTGTGCATCAATGATGTTTCTGTTCTAAGCATGTTATCAAGCTGGTTAAATATTGAGAAAAGAACTGACAAGTGTTCCTGCTGATAAAGCATTTATGACATTTATAAAGTTGCTTTTGGATAAAACAGAAACCTTTATGTAAAATGTGAAAAGAAGCCATCATTTCATCTTTTGTTATGTTTATGCTGTTCTACAAAAACAATGTTCCATAAAACTCAAGCAGGTTCTGTTTCTAAAGGCTTTGAGTAACTCCTTGAGCTTTGGACTGTTTACTTGCCACAGGAGTCCCCCAGGGCTCAGTGCTGGGACCTCTTCTCTTTACCATATACACCACCTCACTGGGTGAGATCATTCGATCACATGGCTTCTCCTACCACTGCTATGCTGACGACACCCAGGTCTATCTGTCATTTGCACCGGACGACCACACTGTCTCTGCACGAATATCGAACTGTCTCTCTGACATATCAAAATGGATGAAATCCACCATCTCCAACTCAACCTCTCTAAAACTGAACTACTTGTCATCCCAGCAAAACCATCCATACAGCACAATATCTCAATCTGAAATGACTTCCTATCTCTGGCTCCTTCAAAGGCAGTTCGAAATCTGGGTGTTGTGATTGATGAACACCTGAGCTTTAAAGATCGTGTTACCTCTGTTGCTCGTTCATGCCGCTTTGCGCTGTATAAGAAAGATCAGACCATACCTAACACAACATGCCACCCAGCTCCTGGTGCAATCTACTGTCATCTCCCGCCTCAATTACTGCAATGCCCTTCTAAGTGGTCTTCCAGGCTGTACTGTGAGACCTCTTCAGATGGTCCAGAACGCAGCGGCGGGTCTGGTCTTCAATCAGCCAAAAAGAGCACACATCACCCCTCTGTTCATTGAGCTCCACTGGCTACCGCTAGCTGCACGCATCAAACTCAAATTGCCAACACTAGCATACGTACTAGTATGGTACGGCTCCCATCTAGCTGAATCCTCTTGCAAAGGCTTACGTCTCGGCCCGGCCGCTCCGGTCATCACAGGATCGTCGGCTAGCAGTGCCTACACCACGTTCAGGACAATTCAGACTCTTCTCGTGCATCGTTCCACAAATGTGGAATGACCTACCAAGCACTACCAGAACTGCGGCTTCCTTTTCAATTTTCAAGAAACTCCTGAAGACCCTGCTCTTCAGAGAGCATCTTCTTAACCAGCACCTTGCCTGCACCTGTCCCCCCTCTACTGTCCACTCCTTGTTCCCTCCTCTCCATGACTGATGTCAATGTTGTTGTTGTTATAGTTGTTGTTAGCCTCAAGGGCAATATGCCGATTATCCCTTGTAAGTCGCTTTGGACAAAAGCGTCTGCTAAATACATAAACATAAACATACTTGTAAACCAACATTTTTAGTGTTACTGCTTTTTGTAATATTTGCATCAGAAAAAGTACAAAGTTTATTTGAGAATGTTACTCATCCAGCTAAAGAAGCCTTGGGGACATTAGCTCTAACTGAACTCAGTCTGTTTTCAGCAGCTGTTTTTGCAGCCTATCCAGATGTTGTTTTTCCTACATCAAACACTGACCTCTGTGATGATGTTGTAGGTGAATTTCATCTCACAGGTGTTTCTTTTAGACCTTGTGCCAGTGCTGCACAGGCAATTATGCATCATCATCATCATCATCATAATCAGCCCCTTTAGCAGTGACTTTGGGAGATTTTGTTCTTGCAGATGAGCAGCTTCATCTGACAGCGTTTTGGCTCTGACTCAACTTCCGCTCTTTTCCTCAACTGGCATTTGCTAATAATCTTTCAGACAGCTGCAAGCCCTTAAAAATGACGCTTCTACTCTTCTGCTGCTCTATCCATTAACTTCATTTGCAGATTCACAGTCAGTTCCTTAGAAGAGTCTGTTTTAATGGTCTTAAACTCCAAATCGCAA